AAATAGATGGTGTTGTTATGGGCTCTCCACTGGGTCCTACACTGGCCAACACTTTTCTGTGTCACCACAAACAAAACTGGATTGACAACTGTCAGCTAAGCTTCAAATCTGTTCTCTACAGAAGGTATGTTGATGACACTTTCCTTATTTTCCACCATATTGGTCATATCCAACGCTTTATTGATTATCTCAATTCACAACACCCCGGTTTAGATTCACTAAACTCTTGAAAACTGAAAATAATTCTCAGCATAGTTTTATAAAGGGAGGCTTAGCTTCACTAACTTGATAAAGTATATACTTTTATTGAGGCACTGTTAAATGATTAACGTTGTATGTCAGACTTTCAGATAGTAGAACTGAAGGTTAAATAGAACTTTAAATTCTGTGGAATTGATGAAAATACTGTGAGTAGAAAATTGGCTTTGTGGTGAAAAGCTGATTGGTGTTATTGTGATTAGATATCAATAGTGATGTTTCTCAAGGGTTTATGTTGATTTTTGTTATCCATGATTTTTATCAGTGGTTGGATACTTGAGTAATAAGTAACCAAAATTTACTGATCACACTAAGATGTTAACATATTTTCAATTTAGAAATATTTGAATAGTCTTAATGAGTAGGCTGTAACTTCTAATATGTACTTGAGGTTTTGTAAATTTGAAAATAACTTGTGTAAGAGGAATGTAGGTGATGTTAAAAATATTTAGGTGTGATTGATTATATCTTCTTTAGATGTAGTGAAAAGAACTAAGAGAATTCTACAGTATATTTTTAAAACCTGTGAATTTTAAAGTACTAAAGTTTTAGGATCTAGTTTTACAAATTTTGAATTTAAATGCTTTATTTTTTTCCTTGTATAGAACTTTGGTAAGGTCAGTTTTTAAAGTAATGTGTTAATTTTTTAGCCTCCTTGTTATAGGAAGAGTTCAGGCAACCATAAGAGTGTGTAAAAAATCCCTACTAGAATTATACTTTGTTTTAAAACGTTGAGCTATGAATAGATTTGAAGTATACACTTCTTTTTGATGGAGTATGAAATAATTGTATAAAGATGAGTAAAATTGTTAGGGCATTAGGTAATCTGTCCATAGAAAGTATGTTTGATTGGCAAAATGCTGAAGTTGTTAGTAGTAATTGTAATATTAGGGACAATAAACATAAATTATGTAATTTAATATCTGAACAGCAAAGGTACCCAACTTTTAAGTCAATGCATTCAAATATCTATAAAAGTTTGGAATACTTTGTCTCTTGGTGTAATGTGTGCTCTTCAATTTTTTTTAAAATTATTTTATGGACTTGAAAGGTTACATTTAACTTTGGTTTATCTGATGGTTTCAAATGCCCTTTTCCTCATCTTGCTTGCTCTTATATTCTTAAGTTTCTTGTAATATTTTTAAACTCTGTATCTGCCAGTGTGATCGTACCTACTTCTGTCTGCAGTAAATTAAAAAAATTGTTACATTAAGAAACTGTAATTTAATTTGTAAAGAAAGAATGATTTGTTTGTAACCAAATATGGGTTTTATTTAGATGACAGGATAAAAATCTAAAACTTTGAAGACCTAGTCTCAAAAGTTGGTAGATGCTTTGACAGATAATAATGTAAAAGTTGCTGGATGTTGATTGGAAAACTACTAATGTGGTCCCTTTATTTTAAAAAATGAGATAAATAGAGAATTTGATAATTTATGAATGTTATCATAGTTTATACGCATTCTCACCTAGCCTCCTTCACTTCAAAGATAGATAGGATAGCTCAGTATTTAGTGGTACTATCGGACAGTTTACTTGTACATATCAACAAATTTTGATGTACTTTTTTGTCAGTATTTTAAAATACTTTCTTTCAGGGTAGTTCATACTCCTGGTCACACAGAAGACCATTTGGTGCTTATGTTGGAAGAAGACAGTACCATATTCAGTGGAGATTGTATACTTGGAGAAGGAACAACAGTATGTATATCTTTTATATGAGACAAATGCTTGAATTAAGATTGAATTTGCAAGAAGCATGGGTATCTGTATTAATTTTGGAAGGGTATGAATAAGTTGCGACACAGTTTTACATGTTACTTACTATTTTTAGCTAAATGATTCAACTCTTTAAAGCTTTTTTTCTCTCTCATTTTAATAAAAGTGTAATATTTCCTTTAAGACTTCTTACTGGCCTGTAACTGTATAGCTTAAAATAATTTTCTATAAATTTTGGTAATAAACTCTTTAGCAAAATATATTAGTTTTAAGTCATATTTTATGTAATTTAACAAAGTTTGATAGAAAAATAATAACCTTAAATTTCTGATAATATCATGTTTTTTATTTTAAAAATAACTTCCAATGCTTCAATTTAAATTAAATAAACAAATTAAACAATTTTATTCATTTCAAACAATGTACCAGCAAAAATATCAATACAACACACCTTTAGCTAGTAATGGATCTGTCCCCTCAGAATATGCAAGGTGGATTCCGTGTACTGCTGTGTTGGCAGTACAACGATTAAGGGACATTATTAACCACCATTTGGAATCAAGATGCAAAGAGGAAAAGAATTTAAGGACCTTCAGAAAGGAAATATTAATAATTACTGTATTGTTGACATAAATCTCTATGACACAGTTCTACTTACTTACTCATATCAACTCCACTATTAGAGATTTGTTAAAAAATGAAAGGCCCTGCTAAATGTTTACATATTGAATATCAGCTTGATTGCCTAAAATCACTTTTTGTTACAGGTTGTGAAATAAACATTAATTCCGCCATTGTAGATTTTAATTAGAATTTTGAACTGAAAGGCAGCACATCCATTGCACATGAAGCTCCATGCTGCACTGGACGTTATGGATGGGCAGCAACCCCTACGCCTTTCATTACAGTATTTCAGTTTCTTGAATATTGAAAAAACATAAGAAAAGCTATCACGTGGAATGGTGAATTATGGTAAACAGATTCTGGTTTAACAGCAATCTTGAGAATACTTTGGATATGACTTTGATGTCTCAACCAGGAAGGGTGATGGGGTAATATCATTGTGTGTGAGTGTTTTAGATGATTTGTAGAAAGCTCCTCACAGCTTGTGTTTGATGTACCCTTTTTCTTCACCACAGGCACATCTGAAACTTACCACAAGATACATTCTTCTATTAGCAACATTCCCAATGCTTTTCAGAAGACAAAAAAAAAACACTTTTTTTGTACAGTTGATTGTGTTGCTTTTTGTTAATTAAATTCAGTAATGAGATTGGATCAGATAATGTGATTGACTAACTTCTGAATTCTGTTGTTGTAGGAGCTAATAAACATTAAGTGGGACACCTTCCTGCTTTATTGTTTATGTATTTGCTGTTCACATTTTCCCAATGGATTCCATTCATGTTGATAATATTTTACCCGTGGGTTGTGAGTTTTCATGCATCAGCTTATGTAAACTGCCTCATGGTTATACAAACCTGACTAGATTGATCAAATGTAGAAGATTAATCCTTTCATTTCTACAGGGGGAAAATTTAGGAAGTAGTTCCTCCAGTGGCTATTGAGTGTTCTCCTCATTCTGGTCACTACCCACTAAGGATCCCCTTTTCCCCCAAAGAGTTGGGGATAAATGCAAGTCTTGAAATTTGATTTTTGGTGTAGTATTTTGCATAATAAACTGTACCTTCTAATAATTTTTGGATTTAATTGTAACACAGAATTCATGCACTTTTTCGATTTTGTTTTATTAAGGAGGTTTGTTATTTCCAATTTTCAGACATTACCTCAGGTATGTTGTCTCTCTGATTTCAGCTTACCTAGGTTGTCTTAGTGTTTTTATTTATTTCTCAAACCTTGGTGGCCAATCATTTAGCAATGTGAGCTTACTGGCTCAGAAGATATGGATTATAGTACTGTTTTCTAACTTATTGTTGGCCTAGTTAGCAGAGGTGTAGATGATGCTTATCAGGTAAGTTGGGGCATTGAGGCTTAAATTTCAAAGCTGTGGCATGGCATGGAAAATGGCTCTGAAGTTCCTCGAATATATGTATGTACGAGATTAAAAGTGAATTCATTCTAGTCAATTTAAAAAACTGTTGATATTTAAATATTTCATTTCTGTTTTTGGTTGTTTGTGCTTGGTGAAACACATTGTCTTGTAATTTTATGAAGTCTGCCACATGTGTTTGTATTGCTTCCAATCCATTTGACTCTTACTGATCTAATCATAGAGACTCCTCTTCATGGGACATTTACCTTGTACATATTTGATAAAACAGATTGTATATACCTAATCTCATCCTACTGAAACTCTTCGAATGCTCTCTTTCCTTATAGGTGAGTATTTGATTCTAAAATTTCTTGTAGTGTGGATATATTTTACCACACAATTTTTTTTTGTGTATGTCTGATTGGCTTGCTCAGGTTGTGCTTTCAGCATATTAAAGTTTTCTGTTGGTTTTTAGTTGCTTGTAAAAGCCTTTGTTTAGAAAGAATAGATAACTTAACCTGTTATAGTTTCTTGTGGCTGAAACTACCATGGATAGTTGATTGCTCCTGGATGTATTTTCTTATGGAAACAGACTACTTAGTCAGGATCTTTTGTCTTCAGTGTGAACTTCCTAGGTTCATATTATTTTCTGTAGGTTGGATAGGCTTTTCATTCTTTTCTCCCTGTGGTCGATTTTCCATAAAACACCTCAGGTATCTCAGAAACCTTCCTGATGAGGACCTCCACTGTAGCTTACTTGCAGCTACTCTTTGTATTGCTTTGGATGGGAGAATGTAACTTAACCTTGCCTAGTTGTTACTTATCCAGTTACAAGCTTGTTCAATTCATACAATATGCATTTAATAGTCTTTTCTCATCTTCTTTGTTTTGTTCTCCTTTTCTAGTTTCTGTAGTTATAGGCCTAGAAACTAAACAAGCTTGGTAAGCCTGATTTTTTACTTCTCTCTAACCAGACTTAGTGATTCCTTTTGATGTACTGGAAAAATGCCATGTTTACATTTTCCATCTTCATTTTTTTTTGCATTTTCTCTTGGCTCCTACTTCAGAAGTAGGACTTACTTTATAGAGTCTTAGCCAAACTTCTGTCTTTATCCAAACATTTGAATATTTTCTCTTTTTTTGTATTTATACAACAGTCCAAGTAAGACACTGTGCACTTTTCTAAGTATGACTACAATCGATTCCTTTCTTTCATGGGTATTGTTTTCAATCTGTGAGTGATCAAACTCTATCCACTTCTGTCAGATTCCTGAGGTTGAGAACATGTTCATCAAAGTCTTGTTTTGGATGAGGCTACTGCCCATTCCTGCTGTGTTTAATCCTATTCATCGTACAAGACAAACATACCAAATACCAGCCCTTATTTATATTCACCACTGTAAATAGTGTGTCCTTTTTTTGGGTTTTGTTATTGGGGTACACATTCCTGTATTACTAGGGTCATGCCCATGGACAGTAATAAATGGATCATTCGCATCTTGTATGATCATTTAATCCCCCCCCCCCCTCCACTTTCTCCATGAAATGGGTTTTGCAGTCGCACTAGGACTATTTCTAGCATGTGTAGGACGTGTGGAAAAGAACTACTGGCTGAAAGGAGTAATCATGTTCAGACAAATTACATTATTCTTAAGGTTATTGGTGTCACAGTTGTTGTCCAGGAGGCAAATAGCTATTTAAAATTCATTTTAGTTTTGAAAATGTTAAAACTGACTTACGTAAAGCCACATTGTTTCTTGTATAGATACGTTATTTGCTATAGTAACACTACAAAATTTTAAGGAAACAAAATGCAGCAATGAGCTCAGGGAAGTCATATTTTTGTACTCTTTTATAATCTGTATTTTTTTCTGGTGCATAAAGTAACACATATTGTTTTACCATTGATGCATTTATATACATAGTCAATTGTTATGTTTTTAATTTATATAGCTCATTTTGATACTTCTGTTGTTTTTATTTAATTTTAATTCATTTTAATTAAAACTTAAAATACAAGTTTGTAATATTTTAATATAATTACCACAAGGTTTATGTTTTGATAGGTGTTTGAGGACCTGTACAACTACATGAAATCTTTAGATAAAATCCTAGAGTTGAAACCAACAATTATATATCCTGGTCATGGTCCAGAAATTCCTGATCCTTGTGCCCGGATTACAGAATACATCCATCACAGAAATTTGAGAGAAACTCAAATATTGAACAAGCTGAAAGAAAGCAGTGAACAACCACTAACAGCTATGGATCTAGTAAAGAGTATTTATAAAGTAAGTTAAACTGTACTTTTTAGTTTACCAATTGATAAGTAATCAGATGTTTAAATTTATATTACAGAATTTCATGATTTTTTTACTTCTTTATTCTTCCCTCTTTTATCGTATTGCACTCCTGGTTAAATTGCAGTCTTAATATGACAAGAAGGACTTTCATATTACAAGTTGTTATTGTTTTTTTGTTTTTTTTCTTATAAGGAGTAAACATCAACCAAGCTAGAATATTGTTAATGGCTTGTACTGTCTGGACATTCTTTAAACAACATATATGATTCAAAGTGCATATGGCCAGGTAATTAGGGTGCTTGACTCTCAATCTGAGGTTTACAGGTTCATTTCCCTGTCTCACCAAACATGTTTGCCCTTTCAGCCATAGGGGTGCTATAATGTGATGGTCAATCCCACTATTTGTTGGCAGTGGGTGGTGATGACTAGCTGCCTTCACTCTAGTCTTTCACTTCTAAATTAGGGACTGCTAGTACAAATAGCCCTCATATAGCTTTGCACGAAATTTGAACTTGAACATACAAGTTCAGTGAAACCAAGTTTATTCTATGGGCTTTCAGCTTCATTACTGGTACTTTCAATAAGGTATTTATGAGATATCCAAAGAATGTATGTAAATATTTAGCAGTATTAGCAGTTCTCTACTATAGTAATGTAATATGTTCAATAACGTACGACTCAAAAGGTGTTTTAAACAATGTAATATGTTCAATAACGTGTGACTCAAAAGGTGTTTTAAACAATTTTCTCTATAGTATTGTTGTTTTATGCATATGATAGTTTGCTAATAAAAGGGTACACTTTTTTTTCATTTCTAAATTTGTGAGAATGAATAAAGTTATTAATGTATAGCAATGGAGATTGGTCTCTAGAAATACAATAAGTCTTGTACTGTTAAATTATTGTGTAAATGTAAGTGTAATGCTAGTTGTTTGAGCAATTTCAATAAATCTTGTACTGTTAAATTATTATATAAATGTAAGTGTAATGTCAGGTGTCTGAGCAATTTATTACCTACCCTATCATAGATTTTTTGTTTATACAAAATTTGTTTTGCTTATAAAAAATCATGAACTCCAAGAGATAATTATGAGTTAAAATACTAGACTGTTTTTGTTGAGTCTGTTTTTATGATCTCGCACCTCACACAAGCAATAAGATACTAAAAGTAGAAATATATTGTTATGAACTGTTCCTATAATTTGAAGGAATTATTCTAAAGTGAAATACAGATATCTAACCCTAAAATTCCAAGGTGTGTCATTTTGACACATTTGTTGTGTGGTTTTATTGCATTTAAGAACAAAACTACTTGATAAAATAGGATGAAACTTGAGATAGATGACCTTTCTATAGATCATGTAGCTCCTACAAATTAAATATATTTTTATGAAATTTCAGCTTTGATTATTAGAAAGGATTTAATTATGATTTTTTTAAGAAAGAGTTACAATTATTGTACTGTTTTTTTTGTCACCCTACATTATTTTAAAACTTTTCTGTGAAGTTTTTATTCTATAAAACTGTAAATTTTATATTTTGTTTTATAAAAGAACTGCCAAGTTTCACTGTGTTTACAATAACCGCAATACAATAAAAATGGCTTTTTTAACATACCAAAAGTCTAAACAATCAGAAGGTTTAATACATGTAATAAGTTTTAAACCCAAGAATCAGAATAGTGGTAGGCTTTAAATCTTTTGCCCTGCTACTTGTCACCAATTTGTTTAGAATTACATAGAATAAACATTTTTTTTTCATCATACATTATTTTTATGTATAAAATCACCTAGATGGAGCCTAAATTGGGCAGAGATCTACTGTATTATCTGTTGTTATGGTATCATGTTCCTTTATTAGGCAAAATATACTGACAGAATGTTTGCCACAATGCATACAAATTGGACCATGCATCAGTTTACTTTATAATTGAAAAAAAGTATTAGGGTAGGCACAGGTTTATAAATTAACATCTTATATTACATATCTGTCTTTTAGAAGACTCGTATTGGTCAGTAATTTACTCTTATGGAAACTGATTTTTACAAGTATTGCCTCATTGTTTTGTGGAATGTCCAGTTTTGTACTTAACTGGTCTAATCATTGTAGTTATAGACACTTCTCTGTAGTATCTGTCTAAATATTTCATACAATAACAAGTTTTTATGTTAACTGATCTGTGCTTTTGATCATTGCAACATGAGTTAAAGTAACAGAAGTTAGACAAAGCTCAATGTTTACTGACCAACCTAGTAGTAAATAATATGAATATATAGTGCCCCAAAATGGCTTAGAATGAATCAGAGAGCAACTAGACATCTCTAGATTCCAGAGAACTAAGTAGTCTCTACATTAAGTTTATGGGCTGGGATCCAGGAACAGGCAAAAGATTCATTTGTTGTTCTCATCTTTGCATAAAATACATGTAACACAGAAATGTGACAATAACATATATATGTATATATCTAATGGAAGATATATTAAACCATAAGACAGATAAAATATGAAAACTAAAAAAAATGAAAGACCAAATTATATTACTTAAGTTTTACTTATATTTTTAACATTTACTGTGCTAATTATATTTTCTAAAGTGTTTTTTTTCTTTGTATTTTGTTGACAAACCAACTCACGACCATATTTTTTGTTGCTCATGCAAGTTGGTATACAGGTAATCGTTTTTGGTTTTGTTTTTTTGTACAGTATATTATAAGTACATCTTTCATGTATAGCCTAGTTCTTATCTATGGATGTTTATATTTTTCACAGGACACTCCCGAGCACTTGCACGTAGCAGCCGAAAACAATGTTATTCATCATCTTTCAAAATTGGTGAAAGAAAAGAAAGTGGGTAAGTTGAGTTTTGAAAGTACTGAAATCATATTTTTCTAACACTTTGGCGAAAGAGAAACATGATGTAATGTGTTCATGTTTGTTATCAAGACTGTATAAATTGCCATATATGCAAAGAATTATGGAGAACTGAAGATTTAATAGAAATTATGATTTAAGCCGTTTTGTTTTGTTTTAGTATGGGCTTTCACAACAAATGATAAATCATCTGATTTATCATATTAATGCTACTATATCATTCTACCTCATTTGTTTTGTTTTTGCACTTTTAGTCAGTTGTAGAGTTTTTCTCTGTTGTTTTTTTTTTCAGAAATAATACTGCAAAAAGTCAAAATATTCACATAGAATCATGATCTACGTTGAATTATTTTATAGTCAGAGTGGACATGCTGAAATGGCTTTTTATAAGAACCTTATTTATACATACAAAAATATTTTTTGTACACAACAGCTACCCCTGGACAAAGTGTGAATGTCTACCATTTTGTTTCAATTGATCCCATTGACTTCAAATTGTCATCAGAATATTTTTTTTTCTGTACATTTCAATGGGATACCACTTTAATACTAACCCTGATCCTGTCAATCCTTTCTTATTTCAAGATAATTATAAACTAGTCAAGCTTTGATCTCATTTTCTAAACATCATTTGTATTGTGCATACCGTTTACAAATTCACTTTCAGTTATTTGTTTTTTTTGAGCTGAGTAATTCAACTGTGAGCTTTGTTAGTTTTAAATATTTACACTAATATAAAACAGATTTATAAGATTTGAAATTTTCATAGTATTTGTATTAGTAATCGACTCATTTTCCGAAAAATGTAGCTTAACAATAAAATAAAACATGAACACAATAATAGGAAGCATTTATTAAACGTTTTGGAATCATCGTATATCCATCATCAGTAATGTAGAGGTACAAAACAAACAAACAATATTTCTAATTACAACAGAAATATATACATATGAAATACACAATTTGAATATAGAATTATAACACGAGAAAATAAAATGTGGGACACATGCAATAGTTAAAATAACTTTAAATCCAGTGAAGATTGTGTATTATTTAGGGACGGAAGGAAAGTTTTTATGTATAATGATTCTTTTATAAGAATTTCAGTATCATGTTTGGCTGTTGAAAGAATTTTAAAGTTTGACAGAGAAATCGGATCTCCTGTTTCTGTATTGTGTTGAAAGATAACGGAGTTGGGAGGGTTTGTAACCTTTTTTCCAGTTTTTATAGATATGCCCATGTGTTCACATGCTCATACTTTAAGGTGACGTTGGTTTCACCAATATAGGAGGCCTTACAGTCTCTACACATGTATAAGTAGACGAGATGTGAACAACGGACAGATGGCAAATGATCTGTGAAGCAAAAAACATTTTTTGGTCTAAAGTTGGGTTTCATAATGACTTTCAGGTCAATTTGGGGATAGTAAGTGTTACATAATTTTTTCATCTGTTTTGTGATAAGGGAGCTCTGCTTCCCGAGATATGGTAAGCAGGTGTATAAGGGATGTTTGGGTGGTTTTACAAACAAATTAGTTAGGAATGAGGAAGTTATTTTCTCCAAGAAATGCATAGGGTAGCCATTTTGAAATAGATTGTTTTGTATGGAATTAATTTCTTTGTAAAGGGCTAAATAGGATGAGGTAAGATTGTAGGCTCTATTTAGTAGAAAGAGAATAAGATTGCGTTTGAAAGAGAAGGGTATAAAACTGTCAAACTGAGTAAGAAAGCCAGTAAATGAGTTTTTAAGATAGACAGAAGTTGAAAATCCTTTAGTATCATGGTTTACAAGAACATCCAGAAAGGGAATATAGTTATTAGTCTCAATTTCATGAGTGAAGTGTATATCCCTTTATAAACCATGCTGAGAATTATTTTCAGTTTTCAAGAGTTTAGTGAAGCTAAACCTCCCTTTATAAAACCATGCTGAGAATTATTTTCAGTTTTCAAGAGTTTAGTGAAGTTAAACTACCCTTTATAAAACCATGCTGAGAATTATTTTCAGTTTTCAAGAGTTTAGTGAAGCTAAACCTCCCTTTATAAAACCCATGCTGAGAATTATTTTCAGTTTTCGAGAGTTTAGTGAAGCTAAACCTCCCTTTATAAAAACCATGCTGAGAATTATTTTCAGTTTTCAAGAGTTTAGTGAAGCTAAAGCTCCCTTTATAAAACCACGCTGAGAATTATTTTCAGTTTTCAAGAGTTTAGTGAAGTTAAACCTCCCTTTATAAAACCATGCTGAGAATTATTTTCAGTTTTCAAGAGTTTAGTGAAGTTAAATCTCCCTTTATAAAACCATGCTGAGAATTATTTTCAGCTTTCAAGAGCTTTCAAGATGTTCTATGCTACTAGATTCCAAATAAAAACCTTAATCATGCAATAAATAAATCACTGATTTCTCAAATTCTTCATTTAGCCACTTTTCAAAAAAGAAGAAGGACTGCATTAGTAGTTTTCCAATCAACAGGAATTTAATCTGCATTCCATAACTTTTGAATTACTTTTTACAGCATCTATCAATTTCTTACACAAGTTTTTCAAAGTTTTAGGATAAATCACATTTTAAATAAAGTCTTCAAAAACAATAGGATTTAAAGATGTATTTTCCCCACTTATAATAAAAAATTACTCAGGTTAGGAAACTAGCCTTGTCTTTGAAGAATGAAAACACTAGAAATATTTTAACTCTTTAGCAGTGATCCTTTTATTTATAATGCTTCTATTAAAATACTTTATACGTTATTATCAATAATTAACTTTTGTTTTTACAGTACAAATAAACACAAGAACTTTTACAATAATGTTTATGATTTTGAAAAAAAAGTCCTAGTCCACCAGTATTAACAATAGCTTATTTCACTTCTTTTTTTTTGTCTATTAAAACTTAATATTCTGTATTTTTACCAACTAGTGTGATATATACATATATGTGTGAAAAAGTATTATTTTCTTTAACCTAATACTAACTGTAGCAAAATCAGCACTGTAGTGTAGAAGTTGAAAAATGCAAAAAAAAATCTAAATTACACCCTTTTCTTTCTAGAATGACTGCATATTGTAACAGACAATTACACACTCTTTATTCTTATGCTAACAGACTTTCCAAATCTGGGTGAATTTAGTTTTATTTCTTTATAGCTGCACTCAAACCTACTCAGAATACACTGAAAACCATTTATCACAACTGATAGCTTGTGTAAGAAAATGATGAAGTTAGAAGCACTACATGAATGAATTACAAATACACCTTGTTCACAGAATGTGCTACAATATTTACTGTCATGAGAAATTTTAATTAATTTTTGTTTCAATTAAGTTTCTTTATATAATCTAATAAGTTTATAATTTTTACACTTTAGTTACTTTTATAATAATAAATACAAAAATTCCTTTAAAAAAACAAAAAAAATTTAGTACTTACTTCTCTGGACTTCAGTTTTTTTACTGCTAACAAAGCACTGTAGGCCTACCTTTTTATGAAGACGTTGGTAGCCAAAAATATTTTAAATGCTTATTTTAAATAAGAAATTTAGAAAAAATTATCTCAGTATCATGCACATAATACAGAATGTCCTAAAACTAGTCTAATTTAACTGACTTTCTAGCTGAGCTACAAGTAGTTTAAAAAAATCTCATTGGCCACTTGAAGCTTGACAATAACATATATATAAACAATCAGAAGTGAACTGTCTAGAAATCCACATGAAAAACAAATAACCTTTAGCAGGTCCTTCTATTGGACAAAATTCTTTCTATTGGTTATAAATGAAGGACATTTGATACATATAGCTTTGTTCAAAGCTATGACAAGATGGGAGCGGCTTCAACGGTTGGTGTTACAAATTTATTTGTATTTCACTAACTTAAGAAGATGGGTGGTTTAGATTTTATGTTACGACCTATCAATACCTACAGTTTGAGTTTCTGATCGGTTGGACTCTCTGACAGCCTTAGAAAGAAATGGAGAAAATCAGAGAATCACAGAATTAAATATTAACAATTTTCTTACACATCTGCTTTTGAAATTAAGAAATTAAAATTAGATAAGGTAAAAATTTCAATTGTAAACTACATTTTTATGCAAATTTCATAACATAAATTGTTAATAAAGTTTTTAATTTTGAATGTAACTATGTAAAACGGGCCATAAGCACTTTGACCTGCTGCCATACACATAACGATAAACTAAGTTTTGATAAAGAAATCAGTCTATTCGTTATTTTCTTTTCATAGTCCCAATGAGAAATCTTCAAACCTTCTAAGTCACATTATCGTTAACTTCATTTAACCAAGACTTAATTTTTTTAAGAATGAGACATACTGAATTAGTAAACGAGATAACATATGGAAAACTAGAGACCATTTGGTCCTTCAAGGATGTCTTTGTACACCCACTTTTGAGGAAAGTTAAAATTTAAATACTCTCTTCATTACTGATCCTACTCTGAAGCTTTTAAAAAGTGTGAGCCTTCACTACAGCTGATGACTAACAAATCCTTATTTCAGCCTCTCTATTTCCAAACCTTAAACTTGTATTATCTTGTTATATTGTCTGGACAGTAATGCCCTGGGCAGTATTTGAAGCTTGAATAAGATTACTTCTTACCATTCTGTTCTCAAGGTAAAATAAGATAAGAGATTTGAACCTATTCCTATTAAATAACCATTCTACCCCAGAATCATCCTTGAAGCCCTCCTCTGAACTGTTTCTAATAAGTTAAAATCCCTTCTTAGGTATAGACTAAAATCTACCAAGTGAGGCCTAATTGATTTAACGATTTCAGTGACTTATCTACTAACATGCTAAGATAATTTTCATTTTGCTTACCTTTAGCATACTTAAAAAAAAGAAAATAAATACTACAGATTCATTTGTAGAATACCTTAAGGAGTACACAGAACAGTAGCTATATTATTCCCATGAGTAGAACAAATTATTATTAGTAAAGCAAATTCTAGGTTATTTTCATAGTAGAAACAGATCAGTAGCAAAGCTTATTATAAATACAGACGAAACAGAGTATGTTCTAGAAAAACATGACAATGTTGTTTTACAAGTTCATATAAAACACCTTTTGTTATGTTGTTGCCTATATTTTATATGTGTGTATATATATATATATATAACACACACAGGGTCTGACTACTTTATTAAAAACTTTACCTAATAATGGGTTGGGTCACCATTTGCCCAAATAACAGCCATGATACAATGTGGTATAGAATCCATAAGATGCTAGAAGGTATACTGTGGGTTTTCCCTCCCATTCAGTCATTAATATTGTACACATTAACGATGCAAGGTAGGCAGAAGATAGTAGGGGTTATTACATGTTAAATTTGGGAGCAGTTACTGCCTTTGAGTACATCTGAGTAGATTCACATAACATAAAATTTAAAAGTATCTATTCGTCTTCTTTGCTTTAAGCGCCCCCTTAAAACCCCCAGCTCAAATTCTCGGCAAGTTTCTACTACTACGTGGAAACTTGCTTTGTTTGCGCTCGATTACCTCCACTCAAATTCATGTTATGTATTACCCCCTGGATAGTGATGCCATATGTCTGTTCCAAGTTCATCCCACAGATGGGAAATTGGATTGAGATCCAGAAACTGTGATGGCCATGGTAAATATCCAAAGTCTTCATGTTCTTCAAACAATTTGGTATGGTGAATGGAAGCAGTCTCATCTCTGATATAGCCATCCCCATCAGGGTACACCTGAGGCATCTCTGGATGCTCTTGATCAGAAATGATGCTGAATAAGTTGTAGCATTTAATCTTCCTTCTACAGGGACCAGTGTATGCCAAAAATGCATACATCACCTTTTATTAGTCCAATGTTTATCCTCTTTACACCACTGAAGGTATTTTTTCTTGTTTGTAGCTGAGTTCACTACTTTATGTACTGGTCTCCTACTGCCAGGTGCTATTTGTTACAACATTCTTTGCAAGGTACGGCTGGAGATGGGTGTGGATTGTCGGTTGGTGTACTTTTTGATAAATGGGCTTTCCCATCCTGTCTAACTGCCTTTCTCCTCTTCCTTAAGTGTTTGTGGTCAGAAGTCCCCCTTACATCAGACATTTTATACAATGTTTTATAATTTTGATAAACTTGAATGACTGATTTCTTACCCACAAAACTGTGTTGACCACTGTGCCACCACCTACTATCATGGTTTCTCTGAATGCTGTAACATTGTCTCCCTCCATATCTTTTCCCAGTCATTTATAATGCTGCATGAATGACCTGGCACATCATGTGATCAACCTAATTTTCACTCGCAGCTCAGGACAGGCCCAAGATTAAAACAGGTACATGATTTCTAATAAAGTGCCCAGACTCTGTTTATTACATAAAAGCTGCTACATATACATATACTCTATATAGACAACATTTTGCACTAAGGCTTACCGCAGGGTAGCACCTTCTGTTTTCAGCTTGTCACCATCTTTCAGATATGTATAATCTATATTTTCAGCCGGTTTGTCATCTTTCTTCTCGGAAGCAGGAGGCAATTTCAGAACTTTACAGCCTTTAGTGAAAAGCAACATGTAATTTTGATTTATGAAGATGAGTTTCTCTACAGATATCAACAACTGATTCTTACCCCTACAGATAACAAAAACAATTGATTTAAACATGCATGTACATTTATTTGTAATGCACAACTAATTCACAGAGAACATATGTGCTGCCAGTTTGTTTTTCTGATAATCTATGTTTATTAGTTAAAAAATTCTGAGGGCCAAATTTCCTAGATCAACTATAAGCAGTAAAACATAGAGCTGAAATGTTTCATTGGTAGTTCAAGTAAAATCATTTAATAGTATCCAGTTCCACTAGCAATAATTATGTACCACAATAATACTTAAATACATAAAAAAAACTAATAAAAACAAAGTCAACAGAATTAATTAAATATAACTTGATAAAAAACAGTTATTTAAATGACAAAACCTGGTTTTATATCTCTGAAGATGTCAACAATTCCTCCTACATGGTCATGATGCCAATGGCTCACTACTATTTCCTGCAGAGCAACGCTTTTCTCTGAAAGCTCCTGCTGTAACAGATTAATGTATTCTGGAAAACCAGTATCTCCAGTATCAAGAAGAATTCGCCTGGTGATGGTGATGATAAAAGCAACATAATTAAGATTTCAAATATCACTCCTTAATATCTTTCATATATTAAGTTTATCCTTATTTAAAACAGTCTGTTAAATTTGCATTATTATTATTTTCATAACATTATATTCATCAGAAGTATGTAAGCTTTTTGCCAGTACAGCACTTAAATAACATGTTTATTGTTTTACATTTGACAATGGTCTTAACCATCAAAAGAAAATAATTTTCTATGTTCTCACTCAATGAAGTCTTACGAACTCTATCATGATACCAATTCATAATATTATAAAGCATGAATAATTTAAAAATATATATTTAAACAGAAGGGAAAGCTTCCCAAAGACCTGATATGTCTATTGGTAGAGCGTGGGCTCCAAAAACTAGTATAAATTGGATGTCCCGAGTCAAACCTGGTCTTGAAATCCTGGTAACTAATTTGTTTCAAAACTCATGTGGTCGGAGGGCCTTGTTTATACTAAGTTGCTTTTCACTTATTCCATATTATTACAATAATTATATCCAAGTTAGCATATAATAATGAATTTACAGTACATTTACAAAGTTGATTGAAGGTTTGTCTTACTGTTATCAAAAATACTAATGTTCAAACTGTATTACTTATAATGATTAAAATGTATTGTTTCATTACTTGGCCAGCTCAAGAGGATTAGGTTAGCCTAATTTACTAAGTTGATTGAAGATTTGTCTTACTGTTAATAATTAATATAATAAACAAAACATTAAATTACAAGTGATGAAAAATAAAATTATATATATATTAGATATTATAACCAACACTGTGTGTCCACACTGTGGTAAAATATTCCACTTCTTTAACTTAAGTCAATATTCAAGTTTAAACTACCACACTCTGATTTAGTTTAATCCTAAATCCATAATATAATTTAACAATTATCCTTATGATAAAAATAATAATATAATTCTAATTAGTATTAATGTAAAAATTACACTTCACAGAACTGATCTAGTTTACAATGCAACAGTTGTTGTTCAAGCAATTTGCTAATATAAATAACATCTCAACCACTACTGTGTTCTTGTACCCCAACCACCCTGAATTGCCCTGGAATTGGGCAGAAGGGGCATGTACTGTTGTAGGCACTGGATATAGCATGCTTTTGGGAAGGGTATGTAACAGCCCTTTTTGAGGAAAAATATTCATACACTCAGATCATAAAGATGTGTTCATATCAAGGATTTAGAATTTACAAGAATGGGATATCCTTTGGACTTAATGTCATTGGAAACAAAATAATATGGATCAACTTGGGTCACCAGGAACATTCAGAAAGAGACCTGCAACAAGTCATACATCAACTATAGTAACCGTGTTTCACGGTTACCATAGTTGATGTTCAATGGCAAAAGCCACCCATATGACCCAGGCAACAGTAAGCAACATAATTAAGAAGGGTCTCCATCTGAAAATGAGGATAACAGAGTATGGGTTCATCAAAATAATCTTTCACTTTCAGTCATAAAAAACACTCAACCAATGCATATCTGAAGAAATGGACAATGAAATGTGTAATCAGTATCATGCTATTATATATGAAGCTATGCTAGTTAAATTGCTGGGTGAAATACCTATGGATTTCTGTGCAGTCAGGCTTTTGAAACAGATGATGGGAGCTGTACGTCTAGTACACTAGACATTATGAAAGCCTGCAAATAACGGTGTGCTCTGGACATGAGAGTCTTACGACAGAACTTTTGCAATGAAAATTATGCTGCATGGTTACTGCACTGTTAAGGCCATAAAGTTAAACAAAGCGTGACTAGACATGACAATATGGAATATAACAACGTGGTGAGGCTCAAAGATTGTTTTAATATAACATAATCAATCTTTCTTCGTGTTATTGTTATGCAGAGACCTACGACCCCGCAATACTTCAGTACTTGTTGTAGGCTTATGAAATACTATTTTTCATTAATAACCAACTGCGTTAGGTTTCTTTCACACATAATAATAGAGAAACTTAAGTTACCATTAACTTCTTGCAATATAAGTATTAGCTTACTTTTTACCAGTACCAATTAAATATGTGTTTGTTCCTTGCAGAGTCATAGGACTCGGATTACACCCTAAAATACGAATCACTCGATGAGATAATTGCGACACCCTAGGAATTACAGACGACATGTTTACAATCGAACTACTGCTAGTATTCGAAATGCAATTCGATTCAGGGCACGTCAATAATTATATCGTTATCACAAGCGTATAAACTGAACTCTTGAAGGAAGAGGCAATGGGTCGAGTTACGTGTTTTAATTTTTAAAAAAAGGACTTTGCGGTTGTGCTTTAAATATACTTTGTTTTATTCGATCCTCGGTACATAAGTGATTTCTTATATCCACCGCTGCATCCAACAACTCGATGGAGATGATTTATTTCTTAATGTTTTATCTTGTACAGTACAATGCAGAGAAGCAATTACTTTTAGTTTATCTGTATAGTAATACGTTTGTAAAGCATATAATAAAAATAAAAAAGCCCCCTAGTGGCACAGCGGTAAATATGTAGATTTATAATGTTATAAACAGGGTTTAAATACCTGCAGTGAGCAGAGCACAGATAGCTCATTGTGTAGCTTTGTGCTTAACAGCATATAAGTAATAAAAGTAAAAAAAAAATGTTTGCAAGCTATACAATTAACTTATTATTACTAAACAAATTTAAGACTAGTAGAGCTTTATTATCGTTCGAAATAAAGTACACTATTAATACTACGTTTACTAATATAAACAAGATGTATTTAGAGGAAAGCCCCTAGTAGGATACAAGTGCTCTTGTAATTTCTTTTAGACTTCTATGTTTTAGGAACACTGCTCTTCACTCTCCGATATTTTTGAAATACCCATTTTCAGTTTGGGATGGTAGTGTATAGAAAACAATATTAATCTTTGCACATTTGCGATAGTATTGATAATTTTGCTAACGACCCCTTTAGAATATTGCATTAGTATTTAGTTGCATTTTAAACTATTTGGTAAATAAGCATTTTTTATTTCTTTGAATTATGTTTCCATTAATAACGTTTACTATTGCATCAATATGTGATTTCTCGGATAACCAATAGACCAGAGAAGTTAGGACTGATAACAATAGGAGGATCTCAGGTTTTGATTCATGTTTCCCTTCGAGTAATAACGGTTGGATCGTGACAAAAGAGACAGGACACAAGTTTACTCAACAAATATTTAAGAACACTTTCGCAGTTTAAAAGGTAATACAATGCACCGCAATACAATTAACAATAAGACAACTCATCGTTTGTGTGTTTATGTTTGTGAATGGTATTGGCAAGAGATGATGATGACTATAACAAACAATAAAGCTCTTGTTTGTGCGTGTAGGTCCCCCCTTGCAAGTTGAATTCAGTGAAAAGAAAACGGTTAAAGAAAACTCCAAAGTAACTACCTCAAGTTAAGTATCACCTTAAACAATATCTAAATAGATTAGATGTGAAAACCAAGATTCTGATTTGATTTCACCCTCACAGCTCCAAATCCCAACGTTCTAAACAATGGAGTAAACACTACTCTCTAAATGGTTCGTGTTTAACGTGAACTGGCACTAATCTTGCTCGCGAAACTTCTGGGTCGGGGTGTTGGTTTGTTTTAGGACCTGGGAAGGTCAAGTGTTTTGTTGACATGTTCCTCCCTGCCGGAGAATAGGTGTATACTCTATTACTTTGTTATTTCATATTCACTTATTTTTAGGTAACACCTTCTTACTTTGTTACGTTGCTCACGGTATTTTAATATAGTGACAAATATCCGCAATTGTTTTGGTATGATATACCTTTTTCATGAGCTAATATTAGCTCATATACTTTCACCATCCTTCACTAATGTACGATTGCACTTTCAGTTCTGTGCACACAACATAGTCTCACATTGTGCGCTTATACACACGTAATTCCATTTTCATATAAAGACCCTTTTAAAATAAAGCTACGTCTGCATACAAAATTTTGTTTGCCTAACACTATGTGGCCTGTTGAGTTTTTTATTAATGATATTTAGGGAAGAGAGGTACTTGGGACTAGATTTATCATGTATGATGTACCTCTGTAAGTTGCTTATCAGTTCATTTTTGTCCATATTTTTCTTATGGTATTGAACTTCAATTTGAAACTAGTTATTTAAGAGTCTGTCAGACTGTAACGGTTTGTTTGGATAGTTGTAGAGAAATGTTATGTTTGTTGAGGAAGCTAGCTAGCTTTGTCAGACACTGAACTGTTAGACCGTTGAAGTAAGATGATATTTTTATTAAACCACTAATGTCCGATGAGAAACTAGCAATATTTTTGGAAAGATACTAACGTTTGATGAGAATTCACTGACGTTCGAAATTTATAGCTGTTCCTGGTCAAATGTCGTATATTTTCTGGTTGGTAAGGGTTAGCAATTTCACGGCTTATAGCGTACACACGGTTATAACAATTTCCTAGCAGACTTAATTGTTTCTTCTTTGGCCTTGGTTTTTTATACAAGCGGGCAATGCTTTTCTCGAACGTTCGGACAATAGCGGTTACGGAAGTAGCTATACTGTTGATTCTTGTGTTCACGAATATTCTACAACATTGGAGAATTGGCGGGAGTTTCGCCATACGCAACTAACACGGTAAGCTAGACACGCCCTCAAATATAAACTTATTCGAAACAAACGTTGACATTAAAATAAATATATAACAAATTCGTTATACGCAACACATATTTCTAAATACAAATTCAATCCAAACAATGTTCATATTAAAAATAAATACATAATAATAAATTCGTTACAGGAGAGTCCCGTCTAGATATAGTTATGTTTTTATTTTGCATGTTTTGCTTGATTTTGTGAATAGTACTACTTGTGTTTTATGTGTGTGTATTTTAATTATCCATTTGTTATAGAAGTGTTCTATTTCATTTAATAATTGTTGTATGTTATATGTTGCTGTAGTTGGGTTTGGAGCACTCTTCCAGACTTCTACATCATCTGCGAGCTGTGAGCAAAAGGTGAACTTTGGGTTTTTTAGAGGCATTGTGCTTACATATATGATAAACAATGTAGGGCTAACTACCCTTCCTTGTGGGACTCCTGCCTTTGGAGTGAAGCTCTCCAAGTAGGTGCCTTTAACATTGACTACGATGCTCCTATCTTCCAGGAACTAGACAACCAGCGGCGATGCTCCTATTTTCCAGAAACTTAGACAACCAGTGGTGATGCTCATATTTTCCTGGAACTTAAACAACCAGCGGCGATGCTCCTATTTTCCAGAAAATTAAACAACCAGCAGTGATGCTCCTATCTTCCAGGAACTTAAACAACCAGCGGTGATACTCTTATCTTCCAGGAACTAGACAAACAGCGGTGATGCTCTTATCTTCCAGGAACTAGACAAACAGCAGTGATGCTCCTATCTTCCAGGAACTTAGACAACCAGCGAATTATTTCTCTCAGAAGTACTGTTTTGGACATTTATAATCTGAGGCCATTGTACTCTACCCTGTCGAATGCCTTCCCTACATCGATAAAACATGCGACAGTGCAGTGTTTCTTATTGAAAATATTGATTATTTCTTCTGTTAGTCTAAGTAGATGATCTATTGTTTGTCCAGTTTTAAGAAAACCGTTTTGGATACCGGGCAATTTTTATTTAATTTTTAGGTATGCTAGTAGTCTGTTGTTAATCATTTTTTCTAATAATTTTCCTAAACAGCCGGTTCAAGGTTATTCGCTGGTTAACCCTTCTTTGGAAACATAAGAATATCAGCCTGTTTCCAAGCGGTTGGTTTGTAGCCTAATTTCAAGGAAGGATTGAAAAAAGCTGTTAGATGTTTATGTAATCTCAGAGGTCCTATTTTTAAGAGTTTACTTTGGATTCTATCTAGTCTTGGTGCTTTATTTTTCTTTAATTTTATTTTTCTTTGTTTTTCTTCTACTGTGATGAGTTGGATTAATTGTTCTATTATGGTGTCATATTCGTTTTAATTGTTTATTTTGCTTTGTGAGATGTTTGTTGTGAAATTAGGTGTGTAAAGGCGTTGATTTAGTTCTACGTAGGTGTTTAATGTATTCAGAAAATGGTTATTCATATGTGGTTCATTAGGTGTTTTGTTTATTTTTTTTGTTGTTTAAATGTCGCGCAAAGCTACACGAGGGCTATCTGCGCTAGCCGTCCCTAATTGAGCCGTGTAAGACTAGAGGGAAGGCAGCTAGTCATCACCACCCACCGCCAACTCTTGGGCTACTATTTTACCAACGAATGGTGGGATTGACCGTCACATTATAACGTCCCCACGGCTGAAAGGGCGAGCATGTTTAGTTGGACGAGGATTCGAACCCGCGACCTTCAGATTGCGAGTCGAGTGCCCTAACCACCTGGCCATGCCGGGCCTTAGGTGTTTTGAAGGTGTTCTAAAGCTGTTCTTTGAAAGAGTATCAGTATCTTCCAGGTGGCCCAAACATGGTCTCATGCTTTTTCTGTGTATACTTTATATCAAAATGTATTAAATTATTGCCCGGCATGTCCGAGTGGTTAGGGGCACTTGACTCGCAATCCGAGGGTCGCGGGTCGAATCCCCCCCCCCCCAATTTAGCCGTGGGGGCGTTATAATATGACGGTCAATCCCACTATTCATTGGTAAAAGAGTAGTCCAAGAGTTGGCTGTGGGCAGTGATGACTAGCTGCTTTCCCTCTAGTCTTACACTGCTAAATTAGGGACGGTTAGCGCAGATAGACCTCGTGTAGCTTTGCGCGAAATCCATAACAACCAATCATGAAATTTATTCCTATACTTATGTCTACATCCGCTGATTTAAAGCACATTGTAGAATATTTTAAGCATATTATCTTACAAGATACGTTTCGTTATTTTAAATATCCTCTGTTGATAAACAAAGATTATCTACGTAGAATTCTTATAACTGATCCAGTTTAAACTACTGATCGATTTTTGTTGTTGTTTTACAATGAGCTTCTCGCTTTGTAGAGTTTCTCAGCTGATTGTTTGTTTTAGAGCAAAGCCACATTGGATTATTTGCTGTGTCCACCGCGAAAAATCGAACCCCGAATTTTAGCGTTGGAAGTTCGTAAACTCACAGCAGTCCCACTGAGAGAAAATTTCTTAGCTAATTCTCCTGAATGCGCTGTTAAACTCTTTAAAAATCTGAACAAAATATTGTTTTGTTATTCTCAAAATATGTTACATTATATATATATATATATAACTCAAACATCATTTTATTCTGCCTAAGGAAAAAAAGAAAAGAAAAAAAAGAAAAGAAAGTGAGTCGTATT